CACCCCCATCCCCACCCCCACTTCCCCTCTCTTTCGCCGTAATTCACTTTTACTCGTTATTACAACTTTTTAACATCCTCTCACCCTTCACTCGCACCTTCACGATTTTCGACCCATCGGAGCTCCTCCACCCGCCCTTCCTCCTCCTCTATCACCCAACCCCACTACCCCTCTCTTTCGCCGTAATTCACTCTTTCTCGTTATTACAACTTTTTAACATCCTCTCTCACCCTTCACTCGCACCTTCACCATTTTCGACCCATCGGAGCTCCTCCACCCGCCCTTCCTCCTTCCCTATCACCCAACCCCACCACCCCTCTCTTTCGCCGTAATTCACTCTTTCTCGTTATTACAACTTTTTAACATTCTCTTTCACCTTTCACTCGCACCTTCACCATTTTCGACCCGTCGGAGCTCCTCCACCCGCCTCTCCCCCTTCCCTCACCAACCACCTCCGCGGGCCTTCTCTTTCGCCGTATTTCACTTTTTCTCGTTATTACAATTTTTTATCATTTTCTCTCACCTTTCACTCGCACCTCCACCATCTTCGACCTACCGGATCTTAAAATATTAATTAAAATAAGAACCCGACTGCTGACTGGTACGACGAATATTTAAAAAGAAAAATTTTGAAAAATTATCTTATTTAATTGTAAAAAAACTTTATTAAAAAAAAATTTGTTTTAAATATGAAGGTAATAAAGAAAATCGATGCGTTAATATTAGACGATTAGTGAAAACAATCTTGGGGATTGTTTTGATGTGGAAGGGCGGATGCGCGCGAGTTTCATATACCCCCCTCACCCGGCTCACCGATAAACCGAGCAGTCATCTTTTAAATACGTATTAAATAAAATTATTATTTTAAATACTACCGACTGCTGACCGATATGACGTATATTTAAAACTATCGCAGTACTATCACGAGTTAAATTGTAATATATTACCACGAAAAGTAACTGATTATTAATTATTAAAGTTGCCAATACAAAGTGAACATACGTAAATTGTATTCGACTGTCATGGGACATTTCGACTGCCCGCGCAGCGGTGAGGAGGACAATGCAACATTTGGTTGATTTTCGAATCGCCTCCGTCTAGCTTTCGCTGTCCCTCTCACAACACCGCACCGCGTATAATATATTACCAGGAATTTAATAATTTTGATTTTTTATAATATGCAATCGCGTTAACGAAAAAAAATTAATATGTTATAAATCTGACGTGTCAATATTAGACGGTTAGTGAAAACAGCCTTAGTGAGAACAGATTGTTATCAAAACAACACATCAAGTGGAAGGGCGAATGCGAGTCGCACGTCCCCCCCTCGCCAGGCTCACCGATAAACCGTGCAGTCATCATTTAAATACATATTAAATAAAATTATTATTTTAAATACTCCCGACTGTTGACTGGGGTATAAGAAACATTAAATAAGCTTTGAAAACTTATTTAAAATAAAAATTACACAGCCCAACAAAATTTCCTTAATTTCACGTTGACTTACAAGTATAAGTCGATTCCGATAGGATTTTTTCCGCAGAATCCAAATATGCCTATAAAAATATTGAATTGGCTCTAGTTTTTGAACAACTGAAGGTCAAAAGGGTCGAAACATGCGATTTTGCCAATTTTTGAGCGTCTATCAAAAAGGAACGTGTCGCAAAAAAATCGTCTTCCGATGAAGAAATTGTTCTTCGAGTAT